TGGCCTCCGGCAGGGAGATCCACTATCTCCGCTGCTCTTTGTCCTGGCAATCGACCCCCTGCACCACCTCCTCAACAAGGCCACTGCACAAGGACATCTTCAACCCATCTGCGGAAGTGCTCCGACCATCAGGACGTCCTTGTACGCAGACGATGCTGCCATCTTCGTCAAACCCACCAGGGGTGACGTTCAATTTCTTGCTTCCTCCTTGGCTGCTTTTGGAGAGGTGACCGGCCTGCATACTAACTGTACCAAAAGTTTGGTGGCTCCTATTCGCTGCGACAACATAAATTTGGAAGACATTCTCGAGGCCTTCCCGGCGGTCCGCACGGCATTCCCGATGCGGTACCTTGGCCTTCCGTTATCGGTCAAGCGTCTCAAGAGCATTCATCTCCAGCACCTTGTGGACAAGGTCGCGTGCAAGCTCCTACCATGGCAGGGAAGACACGTCGCTACTGCTGGGCGTGTGGTGCTTGTAAAGGCGGTCCTCACGGCCATTGCAATTTATCACCTCACGTCTCTCGACGTCCCCGTGGAGATCCTTAAAGTAATTGACCGACTTCGGCGTGCTTACCTTTGGGAGGGGACCGACAAAGTCTTGGGAGGGTCATGCAAGATCAACTGGGACCTCGTCTGCAAGCCTAAACAGTTTGGTGGCTTGGGTGTGCTTGATTTGAGCAAATTCGCTAAGGCCCTTCGACTTCGATGGCTATGGTTCGAGTGGGTGGACAAAAGCAAGCCTTGGGTTGGCCTGGGGTCTCCATGCACCGAGGATGACCGCAAATTTTTTGCGGCTGCTACAGTGGTGACTGTGGGAAATGGGCACACGACCAGATTCTGGCACTCCCCTTGGTTGCATGGTCTCTGCCCTTGTGACTTAGCGCCGAATATTTTTGCCATCTCCCGCAAGAAGAATTCCTCCGTCCAGCAAGCCCTCACCAACAACAACTGGATCTCCCTCATTGACACCTCCAATGGCCTATCGCTTGCACACGTCCAACAGTTTGCTGACCTCTGGCAGAAGATATCTATGATCGATCTGAATGAGGACATAGAAGATTCTATCACCTGGAAGTTCACCAAGGATGGGATGTACTCTGCTTCGTCTGCTTACAAGGCACAATTTGAGGGTCACACATCGTCCGATCTCGTTCACTCTGTGTGGAGGGTTTGGGCCACCCCTCGGTGCAAGTTCTTTGCTTGGTTAGTCCTTCAAAACAGGATTTGGACATCGGATCGTCTCATACGTCGCGGATGGCCAAACTGTGGCCTCTGCCCACTTTGTAAGCAATGCCAGGAGTCAGCGGCCCACCTCCTCTTCCAATGCCGCTTCACCACCCGCATTTGGAATAATATTCTTACGTGGCTTGGCATGCACCACATTTCTACGACGATATGGCAGACGAGGACTTCGGTGAAAGACTGGTGGAACGGCAACCTTCAGATTCGCCTTGGCTCCCCTAAGGCGCTAGCCTCCTTGATGATGCTTATCTCATGGGAGATATGGACAGAACGTAACGCTAGGGTCTTTCGAAACACGGCCATCCCTTCCATGGTCCTAATCTGTAAGATCAAAAAGGAGGTGTCTCTTTGGGCTGTGGCGGGTGCAACACACATGAGTGATGTAATGCCGTGAGAGTAGACATTTTAGTTTGCCGCTTTGCGGTCCTTGTTCGATAACTCCTTTCTTAATCAATGAAATGGCAAATCTTTTGCCTTGTTTCAAAAAAAAAACTCGTCTATGCAGTTGCACCACAAGACTGAAAGTACAACAATGGTGGAAACATTAGGGCCAGAGTGTAACTTTCCCCATCCAAACGTGTTTAGCTACTAGATACATATATGCTCAATTATTGTGAAGAGAACAGGACATGATGGGATGCTTGGACATGAATCATTGCGTGGGAGCAATGTGATATGCGGACTTCACTTTCTTCTCCAACATGGAGACATGCTTATCAAGCATGGACACCACTGCCTCAAACTCACTCACCTGCTGGTCTATCGCGTCGATCTGCGTTGTATACTCGTCAAATCGTTGGTTTTTCTCATTCAGTTGTTCTACAAAAACTCGCAGACCGGACGCAACGTCTCCATAATTGCTGTATTCCTCGGTCACACGTTGATTCATCTTTTCAAGCAGCGAGAGCTGGTTGTTGGTTCCCTGAAAAGGATGTGACATCTTAAGAGAAAAATAAATGCTGACATATAACAAATGCTGATAACACCAGAAGTCAGTAACACTATCGATAAACATCAGCAATGGAGAGTTGACCTTTTTTTTAAATACAATTTAGAAAGTTAAATTTAAAGTTATATTAAATCTGTCATTTTTCACTGAAGATTCAGATTAAGAAAATATTAACCATCTCTTAACCTTCAATAAATCTACATGGTTTGGTGAAGTTATTTACAAATACATTTAATTACCCTTAGCTACCAAAGCGCTTCCCGTCAAAACTAGACTAGAAGTACACCATTTATTGCTCAAATGAAAATAACTCTTTGTTGGCAAACATGAAAATAATCTCACTGTATGAGAATTAGTACAGTACCCGAAAGCCGTTTGGTACACGACATAGCACAAGAACCAAACCAAGTGGATGGCCTCTATCTGTGCAAAGGTCTGTCAATGTCAATACCATTGATCTACTTTTCTTCTTTTGATTAAGTAAGCAAATCAATGTTCTGCGACTTCTGCTGCCAATCTAAATTCATGCACTTCAGTGATACCTTGTCATGTTAAACGAAGCAACGCCTATATAAATGTGTCATCTGTGAGCTACAAAAGTGTAGTACTATCTGAGTTGTGATGCATTTTTGGCCCCTGAATAAGTACTCAACCCCTCGAGAAACAAAGAACCGAGCACAGACCCCATAGCCTAGGCTACAAATTCTGAACACAGCCATTTCAAATCACAAATAAAGCCAACCGAGTTTCGCGCCTTCAAGCATAAATGAGAAATAACCTGGGAATGGATGCACTAAAGCACATTGCGTAGCAACTACTGGTGCCCAGAGAATGCAGCGGACATGTATCCATTTTGGCGTACCAATTCCATGGTAGAAAATCCACTTTAGCACTACATGATCAGTGATTGCTTTCCTCTGCCACTACCAGTCCTTCGAACTGAGGCATCGAAACCAAATGGGGGCAAACGTTAACGAAGCCCCCGTGAGCGTATCAGATCCAGAAAATACCTAGAAAAATCCGTGCACCAGTCCAAGCTAGGAAATCTGAACGAACGACCACGGGCTCTGCGGCGCTAGGGTTATGGCACGATTTTTTTTTTATCGCGTTAGCGAATCATCAAATCAACACCAAACAGTTGGGTGCGGAATCAAATCGCTCTTCTTTTCGTCCATTTGCACACGACAGCTGAGATCAGGGGGCCTCGTGAAGGCCGTGATTCGCCGTCTAAAGCTTTGGAGATGCCGCGGGGATTGTGAGGGGTGGGCTCGAGTGTGGCGGATGGACGGACCTGGAGCTCGCCGCGGACCATGAGGGAGACGTTGGTGAAGAGCTCGGACAGCGAGTCGGCGAGCTCGTCTCTCTTCCCTGCCGCCGCCTCCTCCTTCGCCGGGGTCGCCATCGCCGGCGCTTCCTCCCGCTCCCGCCGAGTAGGAATCGGGCTTGGGCTCGTTCGCCTGTCTGCTCTGCTGAGAACTTCTCTGTCCGCTAAAAAAAAACAAATGCAGTTTGCTGGGCCGTCATGATGGGACCCAATATAAAATGGAAGGCCCGTACTTAAGAATAAGAATAAGAATTTTTGGGAAATTTGTCTCAAAAAAAGAGAATTTTTTGGGAAATCAGATGACATGTATGTTTTACCTCAAGAAAAAAGATGACATGTATGTCAATACCTATAGGCTATAGAGATGTTGTTTGATTCATAAGATGAGATTTGTTATAGTAGGTCTGAGCTAAAAAATTCTTTCCTTGAACTGGGAATGGTAGAAACCAATTCTAGATAAGAATAGCAATCCATTCTGCAAACCAAAGGGTCCTAAAAAAATACATTTTTCTGTAAAAATCTTATCCTATAGCATTACTATAAAATTCTTGCAAACCAAAGGAGACCTAAGCGTTTTTATCAACAGAATTGCTATTTAGAGGCCACATCACAAACTGTTTCACAATATTCCTCAAAGAAAAATGTTGATAGTTATGATTTTTAGTATCTTCAATACGCAACCTATTTTAATTGTGCGGTAAGTACGACAACCTATTTTTATATGTTATTAGGGTAAACCTTTTGGCATTATTTTTCTACTAATGTGAATTGTCTGATTGTGCGCTATGGTAAACGGTGCCTTATAGGATTGCACAATTCAGACTATGTATCATTTTTCATTTTCTATGAAATTAAGGGTGTGAAGTGTGGTGATTGGACACCATTGATAGCACGCACCACGCTACATGTCACATTTTCAAAACATGAAAAAAAACAATAAAAGGGTAAGTCAAAGTTTTTCTACCTAATGGGACCGTAGAAGATCCTGACCCCTACTTGTGGCCACAAGAGAAGACGCAACCACGATAGTCGTGCCTAGGTTTGCGGCTCGGTGTTTGCCTTTTTCACAGGTGAGAAAAACGTCGGTGCAAATGTACATGATATATCCACAACAATGTCTCCCCCTAGAATATGGTTCAGTTCATTGCATACAAAGAGCTTTCTCAAACATCAATTTCAAGATGACCGAATATGAACATGTACATGACCCCCAAAAGTAAATAAAAATCTTGTTCTTGCCAATAAATACAAACACCTGCGACCAGATCACAAATTGCTCATCTAGATGCTGAGCCGGATTACATGTTCAAGGAACTAGACAAATGCAGCAAACAAAATCCTCTCAAGTGTCCAAAACAAAAATTAGTGGCCACCATGAAATCACATTGCTTGACTGCGCAATATACTAACTAAAGCTCAATAATCACTCCGAATTGTGCATGTGCATTGGACTTATTCCCTTGGAGTATGGAGGCATGGAGCAGACTAGGCCTCCACCTTCCTGTAGAAGATGCTCATCGCATCGCTGTACAGGGCCACTGAATTGGAGAGCACAGCAAGCACAATCATGGTTACAGCTAAAACCTTGTCGCGCTTGGTTGCAATCCCATAAGAATCCCTGAAGAAACAATGAGCAGAATAAAATTATTGAACACGTAAACCAAAAGGAAACCCACAAACATCGGGGCACACATCACAAACAGAATGCTGATTACCTCAGTATGATCATGGCAGGAAAGATGAAACCAATCAGGACAGCAGCTGTAGCACCGGTGAACTGGAACGCATCCCAGATGCTTGGTATGAAGTTGGCAGCAAGATAAATCACAGCGAGGAGTGAGACGGTGATAATGATAAACCTTCGGTTGTCATGAGAAATGTGCCTTGAGGTGGGGAAGAGGAGTCCATCCAGGTTGAGCCTAAGGGCAAAGAAGACTATAGGGAAGACCAGCATGACATGGACTACATAGCTCACTCTGACTATATCATTGAAGACAGAGCTGAATGGAATATGAAGGTCAGAGTCAAAATTAGCGAGCACATCGGAGAGGGTACCCTCGCCGAAGAGTAAATATGCAAAGAAGCTTGTTGCAACATAAACACTTGAACAGAGAGCCAATGAAGTTCGCACAATTGGCTTAGTCTGACTTCTATCTTCCAGTTCGTTATCGATGCTGTGAACTGTCCAATCATGAAAAGCAGATGTTTTAGATCTCAGAGAAATGAACTACAGCAAGATCAAACCAAGTATAAAGTAGGAGACACACCATTGTAGTGGCAAATATAGGCAGTGACAAGAACCGGCACAGCTGTAAAGAGTTCCCAGATGGAATTGAGTTCATGTATCTCAGGGAAGAGTTTGGGAATCTCCGCGGTCCCTTCTATCAGTCTGAGAATAGCAATTCCAGCAGTGATGACAACAAAAACCACAGCAAGAGCAACTGACAGAGCAGATGTGTATCTCAATGAATCTGCGACCAAAGATGCTCCGTTAGTAATTTAGTTCAGATACCATAAGAGAAATAGCAAAATGGACCTCTTTCTTCAATGCAAAACAAACTTACCCAATCGCTTAAAGCTCACCAATGGAGCAAACACAAAAATAGTTGTGGCAAGGAGAACAACTGGACGAGAATTCCAGAAATGAGGCCCAAACCACCCCTCAAAGATACCCCGGTGATGAACACCAGTTGTAGATGTTCCCGATAGCACATCACCTAGAAAAAAGATGAACAAGCAGTATCAATAATAGTTTGAAGCGAATTGCATGGTCCAAATAAGGATTCAACCAATTCCTAAAAGAAGACAGAGCATTTTTTTGCACTTATTTCGATGTGCCATGCAACACATCGCTTGGACACACATAGGAGCATAGTGGTGATTTCTTTTAGGGAGGTCGATCAGACTTAAGAATTATAGGAAACAGAAATCCAACATCAATGAAAAGATCTAAGTCAACAATCCAGCCGCAGCGAACCAAATAAGTGTTCTACCGAAGACATGTATCAGTGTTGACTATGAGTAACTAATTAGGCTTCCAAGGATTACATATTATGTAAACCAGCGACTAAAAGTATAGCATCTGAACGTATACAGCCAATTATCGATATTCAACATTACAACTCTCGATGGTAAGTAGGCATGACAGAGAAGGGTCGTGTCACAGGCATACCGATGATAATTCACCGAAAAATGTATCAGCATTCACTATAAGTAATTAATTAAGAAGTTATTACTTAGTTTCCATGGGTTCCATTTTATGTAAATCATGGACTAAAAATATAGCACCTGAACGTATACTGCCAATTATCGATATTCAAGTAGGCATAACAGAAAAGGGTCGTGTCACAGGCATACCGATGATAATCATGTATACAATCATGACGCCAACGTTGTTTATGACCACAGATGCTTGCAGTGCAATCCTCCCCCATTGACCAAAAGAGTCACCCATGAGCCAGCCATAGGATGTAATCTTGGCCTGGTGGCTGCACCTGACCATCATGTCAATTGATGCCTCAGTGAGCAATGCCACAAGGATGATCATCAAAATACCAGGGATAATGCCTAGCATCTTGATACTTGCTGGCAGGGCCATAATTCCAGCCCCCACGATGGTTGTCGACAGATTGAAAACTGCACCCGAGAAAGACGCTCCATTGAACTCATGGATCCCATCTTCCTCTTCCGCCTTGACCGGGAGAAGTGGCGTGGTCTCATCCCTCTGTTCCTTGTGTGCAGACTGGTTTTCACTAGGTGATGCATCCCCAATCCCCATTTGTTTCAAGTACTTTCAACCTCCTGTACGTGCAAATTTTCAATTAGGACAAGAGACAGATTTCATCATAAATCTGAATTTCTTTTGAAATATATTCAGGTTACCATTATAAAAAACCTTAAATCTGAATTCCCGTCCTTTGATTACATTTTCCTAATCTATCATCTGTAGAGGTATCTACCTTGTCATGAATCAAGAAAGCAGAATCCGAGTTTCATTTATCTTGGGGAAATGGTGATCGTGATTATTCAGGAAAGAACTAAGCTTTCAAGTTACAACTAACTATTTGACCGACACATTTGACAGGATGTACAAAGTCTGGCTTGATGACAAACAGGAAACGAAACCACATAAAGCAACAAACTTCGAGTGCCATTTCCGGCAGTAGAACACATGTAGCAGTATCATTATTCAATCATAAGATGTTCGGTACAAGAATGGACAAACATTCAGCGCAACGTCTAAATCTTGGAATTTCCCCCAAATCCAAGACAAACTTCTCCAGGGTATATACCAACCAGATCAGACAACTGGAATGGGGACAAAACCCCAGACGAAGCTAACCCAATCCTACCACCATGGAAAGAAAAACAAGCGCCAGAGAGTAGCATCTCAATCTCATACCTCTACAGAATCCCAACTGTCGCTCGGCCAACAACCCGAACACGAGGAGAGCGGAGACGAAGAAATCGGCAGAAGACTTTGGTGGGTGCGCGCGCGCTTGTGTAGACGGAGTTGTCCCTCCGCCTCCCACCCCCGGCGGCCTTCTTATATTGACGAATGCCGCGTGCGGTGCGGTGCCGCGCCTCCGCTTATCCAAGAACCGGACGCGTTCCTTGCCTTCCTGGTCGCCGCGAGCGCCGGTCCCTTTCCACGGAAAGGAAGGAAGGAAAGCAATTAATTCCCTCCGGATTGCGTCCCTGCCTTGCCTTCCGCAGTCGATCTTTGCTTCCTCTTACTTGCCTGATTAATTTAGTCTTTGGCCGGTTGCTTGCTGCCTCGCCATTCCTTATCCGCGGCGAGATGACAAAAATGGCGAGGCGTGGCAGTGGCACAGCGAGCGAGGAAGACGACGACGGGGATGATGGCAGGAAGGGAGATGCGCTGGCGAGATCTTTTTTGTCGACGAGCGGATGAGAGTGACGGATCTATGCTATCTACTCGCCGATGGGTGCGGTAGATTCTGCCGGGTTTGTTACGGGGAAGTTGTTTTTTTAGCTGCTTTGGATTAGGGCATGGCCAATGGTCGCCCCAGCCTGGTGCCCCATAGCCCAGAACCGGATCCTCTAACATAGCAAAGGAAAGTCACCGTGCTATAATGCTAGCCTAATGTAAAATGAAAAAAAAGTTAGGGACGGTTAGTACATAATTAGAAGGTTGTTTACTGTTAATATTTACTGTAGATATAAATAATTTAAAATAGTTTTATTTCACCATCAATTTGTTGTATGTAATTACTATAAATATACGCAGTAGATCATCAATTTGCAAATTAATTTAAGTCATTTTAACCTTAATTATGTGGATAGAAAGAAGGGAAGTTATGGTACCGCAGCTTCTCTAACTTTCCTTCTCAATGTTAGAGGATCCGGTTCCGGCTCAGACGCCACCGTGGCTACTCAAACGGCTGCTCCGCAGGTGTCAGAGACTCCTCTGCAGGAGGGATCCGGCTTGCCTGCTCCCATCCGTACTCCAACTTCATTTTACGGCTGTTTTTTTTCTCTTTTTTTTCTTTCTAATGTAATCATCTTCTCTGGGCCTTATTTTGTTTCAATCAAATCATGTCACGTATGCGGGAGTACGGATGGGAGCACGCTGAGGAAGCAGGTAAGTCTCGTCCCTGCAGGAGACGGTCTCTTCATGGAAAAAAACAAAAAGGAAAGTGAGAGATAGGACGACAGGAAGAAATAGCAAACATAAAGAATGGGCAAAAAAGGAAACAACTCAGGCCAACTCCATCGCATGACCCCAAATCGTTCGACCCTGTCCGTTTAGGGTAAACAGACAGACGAGACGTCCCAACGCACGACCCCATCCTTAAAAAATGTTCGTTTTTTGTCCGCCTCACTCCATCCTGAGAGCAAATTTGGGCTGGCTTTGCGTCTGAAACGGACACGGACGGACAGTTCTTGCGTCCTTCTCGTTCGGGCCGTGTCCTCTGCATGTGAGGCCTGACCCATCTGTCATCCTCTCTCTTTTTTATCTCCCATGGCCCACCATACCCACCCACCATCCTCTCTCTCCACCTTTTCTCCTCTCTCTCTTCTGCTCCACACACAAGCCATGCCAGCGCACGCCACCTCCGCCTACTACATGCACCGCCGCGGCACGCAGTAGCTCGTCGGCGCAACCGGCGGCGTGGCAAGCAGACGGGCGCGGCGCGGGCTGGAGCTGCTGCGGGCGTGCGGCGTGGGGTGGGCGGGCGCGGCTGGAGCGGAGCGGCAGGGCGCCTGCGCGGGGCAGCAAGGCGCGGTTGGAGCTGCTTGCGGGCGTGGGCGCGGCTGGAGCGAGGCCGGCGCGAGCGGGGCGACGCTGGTGCTCACCGGGTTCGCGGCGCGGCTCAGCGATGCCGAGGCCGAGGCGCTGCGGGGCAGGCCGGGCTGCATCCGGCTCTAGCCCGAGGTGTTCCTGCCGCTCGCG